TCACGTACTTCAATTTCATGAGATTCCGAGCAACCATTTGATCTTTCAATTAAATTTCCTTGAGTGATCATTGTTTCTTCCTGATTTTCAGCTGGAAGAATCTCTGTACTTTGCTAAACAGAAGCAAAAGACAGAAAATGAAGGTATTTTTCAAGGTGAGATATTTTACAATCTATTATAATGTTAAAGTAAAGAAAAAAGAAACAGAAAAAAAGAACAAGAATTCTTCTGAAAAAGTGACAGTGGTTTGGAATTCGCTGTTTCAAAGAAAATTACAACCCACGAATATTGAGAGAAATTGAGTTTTACCTTTTCATTTGTACGATGCTCCGTCCAAGGAGCCGTTAGAGTTGCCAACGGCATTATATCTAAAGTTTTGTTTATTTTCGAGATTGCAAACGTTTTTGTGAAATTCTTATATATTTATTAAATTGTTACTAACATGTACAAGTGTTTACTGCAAAAAACAATTTTATTAGTTGACTCTGATTAACAAACCAACAGTAGAAACCCACAGTCAACTATTAATCACTACTACCACTCGCTACTTGCAACCACTCACTACTGCTACATATCCATATGTATGCGTGTAGTTCATGCAATATACATAAACATATGCATAAATGTATATGTTTATATATATATGTATGTTTATATATATGTATGTATATGTATGTATATATATATGTTATATGTATGTATGCATATATATATATACGTATGTTTATATATATGTATGTATATATTTATTTATATATATATATATATGCATATATATAAATACGCATGCGTATATACACATATCTATTATACGTATATTTATATATTACCAGAGAGAAACTTAAGAGAAGCTATGCCTTTTTAGTGTTACCGTCGAAATCATCCATACACTATCTCCACTACATTCATTTTCAGTTTGGGAACTACGTAACTACATACATTTTCTGATGCTATCGATAAAATCGTATCATCGAAAATAGTAGTTCGTGTCTGTATTAAATCCTCAGGGGATCGATTTAAATGGAGGTAAAAATTACAAAAAGTGAGCAATTATGAATACTCTAGTGAATTTGCTCATTTTTGTAATTTTCACCTCAGGGTCGATTCTGTATCTTTAAACAAGGTGAAAATTATAAAAGTGAGCAAATTTACTAGATGTAAATTGACTAATGAAATTATTAGTATTCTAATAAATTCGTTCACTTTTATAATTTTCACCTCGTTTCAAAATACAGAATCGAAGATATACAATCGATTCCCAGGATAGAAACATATCGACTATTCATAGGAAGGATAGTTCAATTTGAACGAAAAAATTTTTATTTCGCATCTCCTATATATATAAATAAAAATTATTGAATTTTAATAAACAAAATTGAAAATTCAAACAAGTTAATTTAGTAAATTTTGCTTGTGCGTGTATAATATTTATCTTATAATATCTTAATATAAAATTATGAAGTTATGGGCCTATATTCAGAAAGCGCTTACAGCGATGTTCGCGCATTAACTTGCTATAATTTACGTTACACACACTATAGAATTTTAGAGATAAAAGCGCGCTTTTATCGATTTTAAATACGGGTCAATGATCTTTATGCAAATTTATAATACAGTTAAGCGGTCGTTTTTTATTACTGCACTTTCTGAACTAATATACACAGTGTAATAAGTTGAAATGAAACAAATATGTTTGTTCCACTTCAACTTATTGCCACAGTATAGCTATTGTGTTATTGCATCGGTTTAGAGTGCAGCAATAAAAAACAGATCTAAGGCTGGAATCAAACTACGTATTGAAGATTGAAATTGAAGATTGAAGATTGAAACTTTGACCAATGAAAAATTTTAGCTTCTATTGTTTTGATTGGTCAAATTTTAATCTTTTAATCTACAATCTCAATCTTCAAATAGTTAAGGTTTCAGCCTTAAGCCCGATGTCCACGATACTAGAAATTGGTCTGAGATTTCGGAGAGAAAAAATTAACAAATCACATTTGAACAATTTGATTACATGACTATTGCGATTGGTCAATTCTTCTTTCATCATCCCAGATCTCAGACCGATTTCTAGCATCATAGACATAAGGCTTTAGAAAGATTTGCATCAATCTGAAGTAAAATGGCGTCTAAGGCCGGAATTAGATTACGCATTAAAGAATGAAATTGAAAATTGGAAGATTGAAGTTTGACCATTCAGAACAAAAAGAGTTAAAATTTCTTTGTTCTTATTGGTGAAATTTTAATTTTTAAGCTTTAATTTCAATTATCAATGCATAGTCTGATTCTGGCCTAACAAGGATTCTATTAAACCGGAATTAGACTGTGCATTAAAGATTGAGATTGAAGATTTAAGATTAAAATTTCACCAATGAGGACAAAGAAATTCTGACTCTTTTTGTTCTAATTGGTCAAACTTCAATCTATCAATCTTCAATCTCATTCTGCAATGCGTAGTTTGATTCCGGTCTTAGACCCACGATGCTAAAGTTCGGTCCGAGTTCTCGGATCGAGAAATGTGTAGCCAATCAACTTACAGTTTTTACGAAAAATCGATAAATTGATTGGCTACACATTTCTCAGTTCGAGAATTCAAATCGAGTTCTAACACTGTGAACACACGGCTTAAGCCCGGATCTACCACAGATTTTTAAGAGGGCAGGACGGGAAAAAGTTTTGTTTCAGTTTGATTTTATAAAACGAGTGTTGTGTAGGTGGTTGTTGATGTATTAATTTTATTTTGATGTTTAATTCGTTAGTGTCGGAAATAAGTTGCCACTCTCTAAATTGATAAAGATATCTATAAAGATATTAGTAAAGTACATGAAAAGAATGTTAATTGACATAAATGACGTTCAGGATTTAATGATTGAACTAATATTATAAATCATATTTTAAGTGATTTAAACATGCCGTGTTGGTATTATGAAAAGAAAGAACTTCGCAATACACCATCTATTCAAGATGGTATCGATTATGACACGGAATGTAGATATCGAAAAGAAGGTGCACGTTTTATAATAGATACTGGTACAAAAATGGATTTAGGTTATAATACGATGGCAACGGGTGTTGTTTATTTTCATCGATTCTACATGTTTCATTCATTCAAAAACTTTCCGCGATATGTAAGTGTATTTTATTATTATATATTGAAATATATATACATAACAATATGTAACTATGTATATATATGTTTGTAGTCAAAATTAATTACAAGTGTCGACATGTTGTATCCATTAAAATATCTTCTGAGAATTACAATATTATGATATATAGGTAACTGCTTGCTGCTGTTTACTCTTAGCTGGAAAAGTTGAAGAAACTCCAAAGAAATGTAAGGATATCATAAGGACTGCCAAAACTTTAGTGTCGGAACAAAAGTTTATGACATTTGGAGAAGACCCTAAAGTAAGTTTTTAAAAGAGATGTTTTAATATTGTACTAATGTATCAAGTTTATTTTTTTTTTTCTTTAGGAAGAAGTTTTGATTTTGGAGAGAATTTTATTGCAAACTATTAAATTTGATCTACAAGTGGAACATCCATACAGTTATTTACTAAAATATGCAAAGTGTCTGAAAGGTAATTATAAAGTTGTTTTTTTTGTTTTTTGTACTATAGAATTATATACAATAGAACGCTGTTTATTAGAGGCGCTTAAAATATATAAATATTTCTAATGAAAGTTTTGTTCCATTTCTAGGTGATAAAAACAAGTTGCAAAAGATGGTTCAAATGGCTTGGACATTTGTTAATGATAGGTATATGAAGTTATAAATAAATAATAATAATAATATTAAAATTTAATAATAATATTAAAAATATTAATTACAATGCACATACATATTTTTGATGTATAAATAAGCCTTTTTAATATTTTTTTCAGTTTATGTACCACTCTATCGCTGCAGTGGGAACCAGAGATCATAGCTGTCGCTCTAATGTATTTGGCAGGAAAATTAAGCAAATTTGAAGTAGTAGATTGGGTTGGAAGACAACCGAAACATTTACGCTGGTGGGATATGTTTGTTGAAGATGTGACTATGGATCTTTTAGAAGGTGATCTTATGTAATTTTCATTTCTTAAGAGATTTGCGTTGCTTTAACATTCTTAAAAATGCTCCTACCATAGCATTTACTCATTCTAAGTGCTCATTGAAGCGAGTAAGAATTATAGCAGAAACACTGAAATATGTGCAAATGAATTTAAAGTGTCTTTATCATTATTTGTTGTTACAGATTAGTAATAACTAATATATTGAACGTATTTTTAGATATTTGCCATCAGGTATTGGATTTATATTCACAAGCTAATAATGCCAAACCACCAGATTCGCCTCCTATGATACCATCCAGTGAAATGTGTAGGGAACGATCTGTTACTGCTACTACTGTCGAATCTGCATCTAATACACCAAATGGTGAGTAACAGTAATATAGTATTGACAATCACAAATGTATCGATTTGTAACTCATTTGATTAAAAGTTATATTTTAGTATAATGGTTAACAAATGTTGTAGTTACACCTGGAAAATCCTCTAAAAGCATGGAAGCATCAACAGTTTCTGCAAATGGATGTCCATCTACAGACGTCACAGACACAATAAAACCAATAGATACTTCAACGGCACATTTTCCTACATATGCAGCAAACTTTGCATCTAACAACACAAATTATCCACCAGCATTTCCACCTACCAATGTTTCGGTTCCTCCTCCTCCTGTAAATACAATGAATCATATCGTGCCAACGATGCATCATATTGGATCGTCCACTGCTATTCGCCCTACACCACCTTCAGCACCGACTGCCAATCAAACTTTTCAACCATATTCCTATCCAACAAACGCATCATATTTTTCAGCGAATAATCCAATTCCACCGGCTGCACCGCCACGTAATTATTATCCACCGCAACCATAACGGAAAATAATATATCGCGCGTTTAGTGTAAGTTGCGTCAGTGCATTATCTTAATTTAAAACAAACATTAGATTATCCAAGACATTACCAATTTAATTGTAAATTTTGAGTATGTGTGTATTGTATATTTGCGATGTTATCAACAGCATATAATTGTATAAACTTTTTTTTGTACTATAAATGAAACGACAGTTCTTAACTTTTTTCTTTCTCCACATAACTATTAATATATGACAAAACAAAAAGAATTAGCATTTGATTTATACTTGATTGATTCAGATATTGATCGATAAAAGGAAGAATGAATTAGAATATTTCACATGTAAAGATTGCCTTTACTAAAAGGCTTTTCCTTGAATTTGGGTTGTAATTTACAAGGTATTTCATCAGTTAAAACTTGTAAAATTGGTTCTGCACATTTGGAATCTAACACAAAACTGTCGATATACAATATATATAACTTAGCTGGTTTGCCAATAAGTTCAGCATAAGACAAGACTGAAACAAGTAAACAATGTCAATTTCATTGATTTTTATATAATATCTTTTGTATTTGGTACATGCGTTTCATGTATATTATATGTAAATACCAACCTCCTGCACCTACTCCAAATACAATATTTGGTTGTTCCAATGGCTCAATTCCACATTTTGAAACATTCACCGTTTTAGTAGCCAATATTCTTAAAAATGAAGCAGAATCTGGGACGCTCGTACTTTGAAATTGCGATATATGACAACACAATATTGAAATTATGTTTTCTGAACTTAGTAACAAGTCATATATCTGTAAAGATAGAAAAAGATATATTTCTTTGATTATAAATCAGAAATTGAAAGATAGGTAGATGAATGTCATAAGCTAATCAGCACATACCTGATTTACAAATTTTCCAGCATTTTTTGTATCAAACAGTGGTAAAATTACACACACATATATTTGTTTGTCAATATGATAAATAACTGAAACTTTTTTATGATTTTCATTTTCTATGATACATACTTCTTCCATTTTGGGACATAAACATTGTTCCACAAATGCTAAAATAAAATAATTGGTCTAATAATATAATATATAACAAAAACGTAAAATATAAAAAGAGTATTAATATTACGAATTAATGGATCTCCTTCTATTACAATGAACTTTTGTATACATTCTGGTTTATCTTTCAACCAGCGAACGTATAATTCCCTAAAATTTTAATCATTTTTGAGTCATAACAATAATAAGTAAAAGATAAATAACAATCTGTTGACATCATAATTTTAACTCACAGAGAATGTTCTGTATTATCAGTTGGTTCGTATTCATCTTCGTCATCCCAAAATGCTCGTGATGATGGAAATATTACTTCTCCGAAGTGACTAACCATTTTTTAATTAAACGTCCTATAAAGAGAAATAAAAAGAAATTAAGAGAAACTAAGATGTCAAATCAGTTAATATTCTTTTAACTCATATGTCGATTCTCTTCTTATAAAACGATCATTAATCGTATGAATTGTCAAATCAATGATAACCTGTGTTATTAAATTGCAGAGTCAGAGCAGAAATCGTCTCATTCGCGTCTCACGCATAATGCTGATATATAAATTATGATAGCGTCAATTTTAATCATGTGATCGGATTCAACAGTTGAGTGAGCGCTCGCTGCTATTGATATATTCTTCCAGATCTAAAATGCTGATTGGACGATCTAAAAGAAAGTGAACGCTCACTCAACTGTGAGTCCGTTGAAAGTAGCCTTTCTGTCACTAAAGGTGCCTTTTTATGCTGACGCTTAATCGGCTCAAGATTCATTTTCAGCATCAAAATAGATCATGTGATCAAAATTGATATTCGTCAGTTTTTATCATGTGACTTATTTGGTGCCGAAAATGAGCGTCGAACTTTAATATGTACCTCTTGAACTAATGCAATCAACGCAGGAACAGAAAACTAGTGGCGTCCTAGAATATTTCTTACTTCGATAGGGACTTTTGGACTCCATAAATGATTTCGTGCAGTGGCTATCGTTAAGTATCATAACCTTGTTCTGAATTCTGATTAACGTGACGATTAATATAGTATAAATTATTCATCGAATATTTTGAAACAATTTTTTGTTAAATTTCATTTTCGTATATTGCGTTGCGTGCATCCAGTACTATCGATATTCAAGTGAGTGCCGTTTTTTTCCCGCCGGTTTCGTCGTTTGTGTTGTCGTCGCCGTCGTCGTCGCCGTCGCCGCCGTCGCCGTCGCCGCCGTCGCCGTCGTCGCCGTCGTCGTCGTCGTCGTCGCACTGGTCTATTAACGACCGTTCACTGCACAAAAATTTCTGCACT